ATTGTCCTCTCTTTTTAGGAGACATTTTGTGGTAGCTTTAGTACATTACAAACCACTGGGGGCATCTACACATGCACTTTACTTTGGAGTTGACTAATTAGCGCCGCAGTAAAGCGTTACTGTCTATATGTGCAGTGCTATTAGGCCAGAATAGGATAGTACTGCCCAACACAAGTACTGTCCTATGGCCAGGGATCTGCTGAATTCACTGCAAAAGTGGGGTGTGCTTTAATCTTGCAGATTCCTCTGCACACCTCTCCACTGCTGATTGGTGGAGGGGCTGCACTTGCAGCTTGCTCCTGATTGTCACAGAGGCTAATTCTGCAGTTTTAAATATGGTGCTGTTTCTGCCTCCCACCACTGATTGGTTGAGGGGCCCTGGCAGCCCCAATGCTTGTTGCTGACCCATGGGGAGGCAAAACCTATGCCATGTTTAAAACCATGGTTTTTGCTCCCCTGACAATCCAGAGGGAGTGGTGGAGCCCCTCTGCCAATCAGTGGTGCGGGGGGGGACACATGGGGGAACACGAAAGATTAAAGGAGTTGCTGCAGATCCCACTTCTGCCATGAATTTGGTAAGTCCCTACCTATGGCAGAGTTCTTCAGTGCACTGCAGTGCATGTTTAGATGGTTACTGGGGCTGGGCTGGCTGGAGCATGAGGGTGTTACAGTGCAGGAGCTGCCTGCTAGCTAGTCCCACACTCTAGCAACCTCGTGCCCTATCCAGTCTCCGCAGCAGGTTGAGCCAGGTTGAGCCAGGGTGGAGCAGCTCCAGGCTGCCAGGCTGACCCCCTGGGCCCTCTTCTAGGCATGGCTGCACCACTGTGGTTCAACATGCTGTGGTCCCAGGCACCCATGTAAATGCTGCTAGTTGTCCCCAGGAAATGCCTGTGCCATGTGTGCTCTGGCACGTGGCAAGTTACCCCAGGTGGGGTAAGGGAGGCTGGGGCTACCATGGGGCTGGCCCCAGCAACCTCACCTGGGGTTCTGGGAGCCTCCTGGGGCTGCAGAAGTGGCAATCCTGCTCCATGGAGCCTGGCTGGCAGCAGTGTGTGGCTCCGGCCTGCCAGGCTCTGGCTTTGGGTGGCACACGCTGCAACCGCATGTGCCACTCTACTGTTTTCCCCACAGATATCCAGGAGTCAAAAAACTCCCTCACTACTGCTCCTTTGCAGTGCAGAGAACAACTGGATGAGCAGTATGTGGTGCCGCAGACTTGTCTGTGGTGCCACATACTACACGGCCATGCTTGTCTGAATGCGGCCATTGTGTCTTTTTTTCCCCCTATTTTTGTATTAGATTTATTCAGGAATGTGTACATCTCACATCCATGTGTGTTATATGCTTACTCTGTCCCCTGTTTATCCATATCTGCTTTAGTCACTAGCCAGCTGTAGAGCTGGCTTTTTAGCTCAAGATATAGGAAATCCTGTTGTCAGGCCTTGTACTAAGATCCAATGGAGTATTTTACTGTTTGGTTTTAATTTCTGATCAGTAAACTGGTGCATCTACATTTAACAGAAAAATAAATGGGTTTGAACCCAGAATCTAAAATACCACATTTGGCCAAAGATAAATATACATTACTTACTGTTTTGTCAGGTAAGATTAATTATATAAATTTGAAGGATGCTATAATTACATCTCTTATTACTTACATCTTGCCTACTAACTTATTACGTACATCTCTTCCATGCCTCTTTTATTTTTTTTTATTTTTTTTTGCTGCAGAAATAATCAAATCCAATTTCTGTAACCTAGGGGTTTTATTCACTTGGGTGCCTAGCCTGGGGCTCAGCACTCCCCACTTCACCTGGTGTAGAGACCAACGACTAGATCATGGTACAACAAGCAAATTTCTACCTATGTCAAGAGTTCAGTCTTTTTCAGTTTGTTTTTTGGCAGTAATATTTATGTTTTTAAAATATAGATATCGAAAGTTGCCATTTACACTAGCAGTAATGATAATATTTCTAACTAGGCATGCCTGTGTGTACACAAATATCTGCTGTGTCCAAATACTTATCTGTTACGTTGTTAGTCTTTTCGTTTGAAGACAGTTGAAATTGCTCAAAAAGTTCCTGAATAAGTGTGCTGGAACATTCTTTAACCATCTTCATGATATGTTCTATGTTCTCACCCTTTCTCCCTGTTTTCTAGATGGCTATACAACAGATGATATTGAATTTTACTGGCGTGGGGGTGATAATGCAGTCACAGGAGTGACAAAGATAGAACTGCCACAATTCTCCATTGTAGACTACAAGCTTATCACCAAGAATGTTGTTTTCTCTACAGGTTTGTAAAAGGGGAGTTTATGGGAAAGTGTATTTGCTCTCTGAGAAGAAATCTAGAATTTGATTAGTGTCAGACTGCACTCCTGAATCGGTGTGAAAATTTGAGAGAGAGAGGGAGTGGTGAGAAGCAATTCTGAATTTTCAAATGCGTAATTCACAAGGTATTAAGTGTAATGTCCCTGCCACACTGATACGGACAATTTCTGTGTGTTTGGCTCCTGTCACCTTTCACTCTAAATAAGAAGCCTCTCTGTTATGTTAGGGCTCACTCTGGTAAGCTATATTTTCTAACTTCTGTGGCAAGTTAGTCAGTAAAAGCCAAGGAAACTTGCTGCACATCTCAGCCAGATGAACTCATCAAGAAATTACTCAATCAACATAAAATTGTCTGCCTTCTCCCACTTCTTGTTGCCAAGCTATATGAGTTATTTGCAGATCAGCTCTTCCCTCTCACTACAGAATATTCTTACCCTCATGCAACAACTTTTTTAAGTCTCTCTCTCTTCCTATAAGTAAATGATTTTCACTAGGTCCAGGCTGAATGCTTTGTGGTCCCTAGAGAGGAAACAGGATTGGCAGCCTGTGCATTAAAATCGTTTTCTTTTCTTCCCCTTCTGTGAACTGGGGCCATAAGGTGTGTGGAGCCCTTATAAAGCCTTAGTATTAGCATTTTCTTTGTACTTATGCCTTCAAGGCAGTGTCATATGCAAACAGTGTTGTGCCTGGGTATAGCTCTTGTTAAACCTATTAAATAAAGATACTTTCTATATTATTTGGTCTCCTGCCTTCTATTTTCATCACAGAGATTTTTATTTTTTCCTCCTCACCACTTGATGTGGGGGTTGGGGTGGTACAGGCACTAAGGCCCATGGTTGACAGCCCAGAGGGTGCAAATTCAAGGCCATAGCAGAAGTGCTCATGGAGCAGCCCTGTCAGAATCCAATAAATCTGCAAATTCTGCTAAATAACTTCTCACACAAGGACACACAAAAGAAAGGAAGAACCACTGGATGTGTTATGGTGGGCCAAGTTTTCTATTTTATTTGAATATTTTAATAAGGTTTAGTTGAATAACGTTTATGGTCGGATCCATGTGGGTACAGAAGACTTGGAATCACTGTATACTGGAGAAAACAGAAGTACTTTGTTTTTCTTTTCACTTGCTCACTGCAAGTTAAAATCCCTTGCGTGGACTATGAAGTCTTCAAATTAGATTTCAGTGTGCATGGGCCTGGAGAACTCCTTGGAATGGGTAAATATTCACTAGTGCCTAGTAACCATTTATGTCAATTAAGGACATAAGTACTGCACAGAACAGTTGCTACACTTGTTCAAAAGATGAAAAGAGAAAGCGGGAGGTGGCATTATACCACACACACAATAACACAGCCACTAAAGAGTGAGATCTTTGTATGTTTAGGCACCCTGAGATGTATTTTGGCTGTAGATTAAAGATTTTAATTATCAAGAGCTGTGAAGCTGTTACTGCCTAGACACCTTAGAATGTTGCATAAACACCTGAACCTCATTATAAAATCTAGAATGTGTTGTCTTCAAAGTATGTCAAGTATCTGTGTAAACTATGCCTGTAATACAGTAAAAGTAGTAGAATTGAAATGACAGGATAACTTAAGACCATACCTAAATATTCCCTTTTTAGGTTCCTATCCGAGGCTGTCACTCAGCTTTAAACTAAAGAGAAACATTGGTTACTTCATTCTGCAGACCTACATGCCTTCTATTCTGATCACTATCCTGTCCTGGGTTTCATTCTGGATTAATTATGATGCTTCAGCTGCAAGAGTTGCTTTAGGTAGGCATTTTTACTCCTCTCATGCCACGTGTATTAGCTGGATAGTTTTATTATTTCTTCTGACTTACTGCGTAATGCTTGATTTGAAAAGTAAAGCTCTGCTAGTTTTTTTGTCTAGCTGGTTAAGCTTCGCATTATCTGAATCAGCATTTAAATCATCACAATTTAAATAAAATATAAAGTGATTTCATGTCTGAATTAGCTAACTGTATAATCATTGTAACTGGAATTAGGCTAATTGCCTTGGTGGTTTTTATTGCACTTGCATTTCATCTAAAAGGCAAATTTTTTAGTTTGAGTTCATGGCAACCCAGAACAAAAGTACAGTGCTGCATTATGGAATACAAATTGCTTTTTCTTTTGAGTATACATTAGATAGTATACATTAGTTTTGACGTAGGACTGCACATATGACTAATGTTCCCCTAGATAGGTATATGGCTTTGCTTCCTTAGCATTACCTTTAAATGCAAAAACAAAACCATTTTCATAATTAATTCCCAGAGGGCTATTTTATATGAGTGCATCTCATCATTAATCGTTTGTGTTTGTTGATACCGTGAGCATTATCACAGTATCCCAGCATAAAGTTAACTCAAATAAAAACTATTTCTACTAGTACCCCCTTCAACCATGGATGAGATGAATAATCCTTTGCTAGGGAAAATTAACATAATCTAGAGGTTGATATCCAACTCTGTTCATTTTGTTTTAAATTTTGCCATTCATTTCCAAGAGACTAAGAATTCTCCTTAGGTGTTCAAACATAAGCATGGACAAAAAGAATAGCACTGAGACATGAGACAGTAGCTCTGTTTTGGCAACTGATAGCTAGGATCATTAAAAAGGCTGCAGTTACACCCTTAAGAAAGTATATTTGCATGACCCAAGATATGTATTTGATTTAATATAATTTATTGTAGTTGTAATTTTCTCAGCTCCAAAAAATAACCAATTTGTATCTCGAAAAGAGAAAAATCAGGAAAATGCACTATTTTTTTTCCCCACCATGGAAAAAAGACTGCCTTCTCATATTCTGTGGGGTGCTGGCATTTAAAGATTTATAATGATAGAAGACTGACTTGAAAATAATTGATAAACCTTTCATCTTTTTCCAGGAATCACAACCGTGCTCACCATGACAACAATCAATACCCATCTTCGAGAGACTCTCCCCAAAATTCCCTATGTGAAAGCCATTGACATGTATCTGATGGGATGCTTTGTCTTCGTTTTCATGGCTTTGCTGGAGTATGCATTGGTCAACTACATCTTCTTTGGCAGGGGACCCCAGCGTCAAAAGAAAGCAGCAGAAAAAGCTGCCAGTGCCAACAATGAGAAGTTGCGAATGGATGTCAATAAGGTAAACTGAAATGGGAGGTATATTTTTAGCATTGGATAGTGGCCACTACAGAATTCAAAACCATATTTCTTATGTAGAACAAATGTAGTAGAGTTACCACAAATTTACTTAAGCTGTACAGAGCATTATACTTAGCTATCTCAGCAATGAAAGCCACCCTCTAGCTGGAGCTGTGAATATTAGAACTTGCTTCCAAAAGCAGATACTCACCGTGTGCTCAGAGATTTTTTCTCAATGCAGAAATCCACAAAATTATTTTTTTTCTTTAAAAGAATAAATCCAAAATGATGGCTATAAGCTGGTGTGCAAAAAAAGAGCTGTATGAAACACTAGTAACAAAACTCAAACAGAGTTTATAAACCTTTAAGGGAACCTAGGCCTATCCATAGACTAAAGGAAATAATTGAAACTCAGAGATCTTTTCATGGTTTCAGCTGGAAGCATCCTAAATATTCTTTGTTAAATGCTAAATTACCCAAATATAAGCATCAGTTTTCTATACATTTAATTTCAGGTCTGAATCTGAACCATGTGGGGAGAGTGTTTGCAGTCCAATGGATGTAGTTGAAATGAAGCCATTACTATATATATTTTAAAAATTGTTTAATGTATACATTTTGGCAAAATTTCCTGTAAAGCAAATTTTGGGGTGAATGCAAATCATGCCCAATGCAATATTACAAAAATGTTTTCATAAAATAAAAACTGATTTTTTTCTTAAAATATCAGTTTAAATCCAAGTGAAATGTACTAGTTTCAGCTCTTTGTCCAACCCTGTCCCCTGCTGCATAACCTCTCCCTTCCCTTTTTCCATTTGAGAGTTTTTCCATGAATGCATTCTAACACTACACTAAAAGGGTTACAGTTTTCAAACCAGAAAGCCATTTTCTACAGATGTTTATGAATGGAAACTGCTAAGTTTCATACAGCTCTAGAGGTGAATTTTTTCACATGTACCCAGAAACTTGTGTAGTTAGAAACTGAGTATAAGTGTAGTAGAAGTGTGGATACCCATCTATGTCCACTATCAATTGACACCTAAATATTATACTTGATTAAATATTTTCAATTGATAGATTATATTTCATGTCTCAGAGTTAGTCCACTAACTATATTTTTTTAATGTGAAAAAGATCTAATTGTTTTATCTTATAGGAGTATGGTATGCAAATGAATTAAGACAAATGCATGATGATTGGGCAATTTACTTTTGATGTCACAGTACATAATTCATTCCACTCACACTTAACTATCCCATTGTTCATGATCAAGCTGAATTAAAACCATCAATGTAAAAAAAAAAACAGTTACAAGTATTTTATTTCACTTGTCAATATTTTTGTTACAGGTTTTCCTTGAAACAATCAGAGCTATGCCTACCAACCTCCCCCCACCCCCCTGAACTATCTTGAGTTTAAACAACCTCCCATCTTAGGTGCAGATAGTTACTGTTCACTATTGCTCTGCATCAAAGAGGATTATTTCCCTCCTCCCTCAGGTGGAGAAAACAAAGTCAACATATCTCTATCCTTCTATTCAGGTCTTTAGGGTAACCCATTCTCAGTCCTGCTATTCAGGTCTTTATGGTACCTCCTTCTCAGTCTTTCTCCCCGGGCTGCCATGCTGAGGTTTCAGGTTACCTGAAAGCTGCTTTGCCTTGGCTTCTTCCCTGTCAGCTTTCTTACTTGAGCTGACTCCCTGAAGAGCCTTCTTTTTAGCCTCCTGAATGCTCTCAGCCATTCCTACTCTCACTTTGTTGCGTTCAGGAACTTCCAGTTCTGGTGGTTCCTCCCTTGTCTGCGCCAAGTCTCTCTTTATGGCAGAGCTCATGTTCTTTCCTCCTCCCCTCTGGAAACACCAGGAGAAGAAGGATCCCTGCATGGCTCTGTGTAGCTTTGGTGATTGTACGGCTGCTTGCAAGCACCCTTCCAACCCGGTGTCTTACTTTCTGCCACCGTGTCTCTTCTCTTCCCTTACACTCCCAAGCACTTACACTTGAATTTAAGATGAAAGGCTTTTTTTCCCATGTTGAATGGGGGTGGGGGGGTAAGCTCATCTTGGATTCAAGTAAATATGGTATGTTATTTTATTTTTAACTCTTCTATCATTTAATTGTAGCTTTAATGGTAAGACCTGTCTTACCACTTTGTATAGGCATTTGGAATGATATTTTATTAAGGATCACTTAACCACAAATTTATCCTTTTCCATTTGAATTTAAAATCTAGTTTTTATTAGTATAGCCTTAATGCTCAAAGATTATATTTGCATTTTTAGGGGCCTTCTCATTTTGGACCATTATTCCTTAATTAGTATCTACAGACTTAAGTCACTTATTCTCTACTTTGTCTTCCAGTTCTTTTATAAAGCTAGTAAATGAATGTTGATCCCTGGAATCCCTTAAAACACTCTCCCAACTAGATGAATTCATAGTTATTATTACTCTCTTTATTTATTGTTCCTTAATGTTTTTATTATTTTGATTTTATCCTACCAGGTCCAGAAAGACAGCTTTTGATCCATTTAATTGTGCTTATGCCCAGGTCTTCAAATATTGACTCCCCTCCTCTGAAACTTACAGTACCATTTCAGATGCTTTACTGATCTAACTCATGTTGTGAAAAGCCTATGAAGGGCCTTCACAATTTTTATAATTTTGTTCCCACTTTGCTTGATTCATTTACAAGGGATGGATGGGAATCTTTTAAAGTAAAAACAATTGTATACCAATATACTTACATTCTTCTTGGTCCTCTCTAGGTCTTCAGAGTTTATGTACAGATTGCTCCTTCCATACCCATGATTTCTGGGGTGTAGATCTCTATGCAACTAGCTTGCATGTACCCAGGTCTTCAAGTAACCTTTAGCCATGTTATTACTATCTCAATCTCTTCTTGCACCTATTAGTCCTGTCTTCATAATTATTTATGCAGGGGTGCTCAACCTTTATCCCATGAGCCAAATTTGGCCTGCAGAGCCATGGCATCTGGCCTGTGGAGCTCCCAATGGTTTGGGAAATTTCACAGCAGTAGAGTGTTGGCAGTTGATATGGCCACCTTCCTTTGCTGCCAAATTCCCAAACCCCAAGCCCTGTAGCAGATCAGAGCTGGGCCATGCTTTCTTCCCTCTGCATGGCCAGGTTGGGGCCAGGTCATGCCCCCTTTCCCACACAGAATAGGGTTGGGGCGAGGTCATGTTCCCTTCCCCCTGAGGGCCAGATTAGAGCTAAACCTTTCCATCATGGGGCTAGGCTGAGACCAATGCCCTCTCCCTGCCATGGACCTGGGGGAACACCCCCCTTTCCCCATAGGGCCAGTTTGGGGCTATGTCAAGTGTCCTTCCCCTTTTGGTGGTGAGTTGGGGCTTTGCTGCCTCCTGCCCCCTTCCACACAGCCAGATGGGGCCCTGTTGTGCCAGCCTGCTGGGAAAAAGTTGAGCACCACTAATTTAAAGGGTTAACAAATCCATTAGTTCTACTTTCTCGGAATCATCACTCCAAGGTTACAGGACTGGTAAAGAGGTTTCGTTTGTGGTTTATCTTTGTTCTGATGCATTTATTATTTGCATCCATTTATAAGCAGCATTTTCTACTGTGTTTGCTTCTCCTCATTTGCTGATGCAGGACTTGTAATCATGTCTGGGTATAAGATTTGTAATTGTATTTCCAGGATAGTTTGCTTTGCATTTTATTTCCAGTAGAGTTTCTGTTTCATTTTAAATTCATCCCAGTAGCCTGTGGTTTGGCATGCTGCACCTCTATTATTATGCCCTTCAGAAACATCAATGCTTTCTCCATGGTGCTCCTTGCTATTAATTGAGCCTACTTTATCTAGACTAGTACTTAATTTATTAACTTTTCTGGAGGTGTAATTAAAATAGAAATATACATTTGAACAGTAAATATTCACTGAGATATCCATTGTTCTGGATAAATTATCAAAGCTCCTTCATAACCATATGATAATTTAATGGCTGGTAAGGTTGGTTCAGTGAACCACACAAACATATAGGGTTAAATGCAACTGGTTTTTAAGCTTGCTTCCTTCAAAACTACAGTTTGGCAAGGGAGGTTGTAGTGGTCATGGAAAGAAGCTACAAACTGTCCTTTATTAGGAGAATGGGGAAATAATACTCAAAAAATGAAGGTTGAACTGGCTAAGGAGGGACTGTAGATAATGTAGGAAGTTATATTTTGTCTGGATTGTTTCTACTGGTTTTTTGCTGTCAGGGATCTTGTTTATAGGAAAGATAAAGCTGGCTCTTGGGCTACATACACACATTCAAATGATCTGGAGAATTTTCCTGGGTTTGTTTTCCTGGTAGAAAAAATTACCCAGAGATGCCTGAAAAGAATGCTGAGCTCCGGAAGAGCAGAGAGCTTGCAGTGTTCCAACTGAGCAGCCAGGGGGCCTTTGTGCACACATCTCAACATGCTCTATGGGCACCCTTAGTCTTACTGGAGACAGATGGCAGCAGTGTATAGGTACAGCCCTGAGTCTTCCTGCAACACAGTGTGGGGAATGTAAAGGGAGCATGTTCTGCTTCCTGCTCTGCTGGAATGATAGTCTAGCAAGTGACACACAGCCTCCTTGGGAGTAGGGGTAGGGAGACAGAAACAAAGCACCCTAGAATGCAGGAGGAATATGCAGCTTCTCTCAGAGGAGAATGTATACAGACATGCCCTCTCCCAGGAGAAACTATTCCAGGTTATTTTTCTCCTGGAGTGGCCTGTTTTTCTCTTGGAGAAAAGTCCTAAATAACTGTAAACTTCCAGGCTTCTCCTGGAAGAGCAGTCACTCTCCCAAGAGAAACTAAATGGTTGTATGTGGCCTCTGGCTACTACACTGAAGTCAAAACATGGTGCTTAGTCACTTTCTGAATTCTAATATTTACTTTCGGTGTAATACACTGAAGGATATTATACCTTTTTTATTCCTTTCTCCACAATTCACTCATTTGCAAAATTACAGCATAGAAAATACATAAATATACTTCAAAAA